ACAACAGGCTCTTCTCTGAATTCTTCACTCTGTCATCAGAAGGAATTTCGGGGAGATGAAATCTACTTGTAACACATCCCTGTTTGAGCTTTTTTACTGCCTTTGTCATGGGGTAAAATTCTCTAGAATGTTCCCAAGGCTCTTCATGGTTTGTATCTTTCCAGTCTTGTCTTTTGCTACGCCTCCTTTCTCACTCAGTTCAGTGAGTACAGATGGACAACTCAAGCTCTGTCATTTTCAGGAGAAGGATGCAGGCAACTCCTCAATATTGGATGTTTACATACCTAGCACCTTCAGGATAAAGTGTTTGCTGACTTGTCCAGCTTCGTTGGAGGCAATGCAGGTGTACCTTCCCGAATCTTCGGTCTCTGCCTGGATGAGTTGAAGGACCATTCCTTGAGTGCTTACTGTCAAATGGGTGTCAAGCCCCAGAGGCTGGCCATCCCTAAGCCATGACATTTGGGGAGTTGGGGTTCCATCTGTCAGGCATGTCATGGAGGTAGAACTGCCCTTGACAACTGTGATGTCCTCTGTTCCCATGGCATTGTCGAGATTTGGTGGCACTACACATAAAAGAAAACGGGCACGTTTTATATATCTACTTTGAGATCAGTTTAGATCAAAAAGTTGAAGAGTTCAATTAGTTTTATAGTGTTTCTATGCTCTATAAAAATGTAGAATTGAAGACAGCATGTAATGAGTTGCTGACGTCACCATGAAAACATGTGTTAGGTAGGCTAATTACTAATCTTCCAAAGTATTAGCAATGAAACCTCAGGAATGTTTCCTGTAGAACATACAATGTTCCAATGTGTTTAAATTTTGGCCATTGTTTTAATTGCTTAGGTTAGTCTCTTTAATTTGTTATAATACATATTATAAATTCCAGAAGTATATTATCAACCACTTTCAATAAATAAAATAATAGTATGTTCTAGAGTAAGTTTTATATAAGCCAACATCAGTCATTTATATTAAATAGTTACTTGACTATTCTGAGATGTCCTTAGGGATTGAGAAATCTAGACCAGAAAACCTTCATATTTCAGAAATGAAATGTTGCAAGTTCTCTATACATACACACAAAGACATATGTAGGGTGTCCCCAAAATGTATATACCCTGTATATATGAGAGCTCAATTGATGCTTCTTTTTTTTCCAGATTGAACCCATTGGAATTAATAATTATTCAAAGTGTATACATTTTGGGGACACCCTGTTTATGCACACATCAATTCACATTTTCAATACTCTAAATGGGCCACTAATACTATTAGAAAACAGTCTGAACTTTCTATTTGTATGAAAGGAATGGTCTTACGTCTGGATTGAAATGCTATTTTTAAAATTTTAGATTTGACTTAATGTAAAATTCCAGGTTAGAAGAGCATTTTGGCAAATAGACAGTATGCTCTAACAAACATGAACCCCATGGAAGAAATGTGTTCTTCCCTAGTCGGCAAGATCCTATTTTGCCAAGCTTTTCTGACATGGCAATATCTAAATATAAAAACATGTTGCTTAATACTAGACCCATGGTAAAACACTAGAGTCATTTCTGCCACATACCAAACACTTGAAGACTATAATGTTTATTATCCACCCCAGCTCTGTTGGAGGCCACACAAGTGTACACGGCAACATCGGACACCTGAGCTCTCACAATCCTGAAAAACAATTTGACCCAACAGTTCATAATTTGATCCCATTCAACATACACAAGTAAAATACCTATGGTTTAAACATAGATATAGAAAGTGATTTATGTGGGAAAAGTTTAGGTATGAAGGTTATAACCATCCATCATAAACCACAGATGCCTCATGTGTAATTTATCCTACAAAGTTGATTAGACACTGACAGTAAGCCACTGAAAATATAAACAGTTTGAGAGGTGAATATTTTTCAAATATATTCTAAAAGAGAATGATATTAATGTGAAAAATCACATGATTCAGTAGGCATCTTCCTATCATTTGCCTATAAATTTTAGCTAACAGTTGTTCTGAGAAATATATATGTAATAGATACGTCCCTTTATAAAAGACCTATTTTATACAATTTACTAAAATACGAGCATTAAAATAAGAATAAAAAGCCATTGTAATTAAATATCTGTTATCCTCCTTCTTCTAAAAAGATACTGAAAAGGAAAACAAACAATAGTAAAAACTTAGAAAAACAACAACAACACTCCTTAAACACGATTTAGATAAGTTAAAGTCTACAGTCACTGAGGCTTTATCTGTCCAGCAAACAGGAAGTCACATGCGAAAAAAGCTGACCTGATGACCTGCCCTCCTGACAGCAACCGGATGTGGGAAGACAGGGGCACAGGAAGTCCATTCTTCAGCCAGTTTATCTGGGGCGGAGGCGTCCCTGTGGCGCGGCATTCAATATTGATTGAAGTGTCCACCAAGGCCGTTAGTTTCTCTGCTTCTTCTTCATTACCCCTGATGGCAGGTGGGACTACATCGCACAGAAAACGAGAGAGGGAAGGGGGTATGTGTGTGTTACTGGTTCAAATCATCTCACAAGGAGCCCGCAATGACATCATATTGTCAAACGAAAGGCTTCAGACACCTACTGCTGGGCCTTCGTATTGTACTGAGGGAGCCCTGATGTGGCACAGCCAAAAGAGGGTGGAATTCCATACTTACCGTAAACATTTAGGTTAAAAATTCGGTCTTCCTCTCCAGCAGGATTAGTGGCGACACACGTGTATTTCCCCATGTCGGACGGGAGAGCTCCGAGGATGATTAACGTGCTGCCGGTGGCAGTCACCCTATGGAAGGGGTTATAGGAGTACTGAGATGATTTGTATAGAGTGAAAATCTGGAAGACTTACCCCAGATCATGGTGCTCTTTTAAAAGACACAGACCTCAGAGGGAAGGCAGGCGAGGTTAGGTGAGGTGCTGGGTGTGGGTAAGAGATTAACCAAAGAACCTGTATG